CGCCAGTTGGCCGGGTTGTCCAGTTGCCTGGTTCTCCAATCACTTGACAGCTGGCGAAAGGAGTCGAAATCGAAGTGCCATCGACGTCATCGCCGCAGCCTCCTCGGCCTTTCCCCGCGTTTTTCCCCAACTTTCCCCGAAAGTGTGGGGATCGCCTGGACCTCCACAGAGCTGGCTGCCACTTTGATTTTATAAAGCCAAGAGCTACGCAATCTGCGGCGCTGGAAACGAGCCAAATAAGTATTCAGGCTGCCGGCCATTGAACAGTGGTTCAAAAAGAGTCGTTTTGGGAACAAAAATGGGCAAGCCAAGTAGACTGTCTTCTTGTTTTTCTGTAACACAAAGTTCTTTACTGAAAGAGAAAAGCTTTCTTAATCAGGATATTTCCATTTTCTTTAAAACCATGGACCAAAGATTATAAATATAATTTAGAAATTAAAAATAATTCAAAAATCGATTTGCGGTTAAATCGATATGCGCATAGTAAATTTCTGGCATATCGTTTTTACCATGCAATACCGATTTCTCTCTCTTTTGGAGATTCTCTGACTTCTCAGAGGATAAGAAAAATGTGATTACTTAAATTACGCGATTGGGAGCGAAAAGTACAAACTCTCTTAATTCGAAACAGAGCGAGATAGCGCTTAAAGTTACATAAGTAGGTGGGTGAAAAAATAATTCGAAATTACAACTGGCCTGTTCTTTACATTTCGAGCATATCAAATCAAAATTGATACCACATAACGTAAAAACGATCATTGTTTCATATCAAGTTTTTTTTGGGTGTAGAAAACGGAAGTTACAAAAGAAAATAGTACACAGAGAGAATTTTTCATGAACGGTGCACTTAAATTGAGAATTTTCTACTCAAAATAAAACCAAGTACTCACTTTAAGTACAAAGTACTTACTTTCAGTACCAATTTTTTAAATAAAATACCTTGGAATTGAGTCTTTTTAGAAATTTTTTTCTCAAAAAACGGGGACAAATAAGAGAGAAACAACATGGTGAAAGAAATAGGCTTCTTTTTTCAAAATTTGTCCACAAAATCAGTATTTCCTCAAATTGAGAATACAAATACTTAATTTGAGAACGTCAGTCTTCTTGCTTAATTTTCTCTGTGTAGTTAAAAAAATATTATTAATCAGCAATCCTTTAAAAATATTGGTTCGCTGTTATTCAAACCAATGTGCGATCACTTTTGGCCCGGCTCGCACTGCCGTTTTGTGACTGTGTCCAATTTGGGCGCAGATTGACAGCGATATGCGTTTAATTTGACGATAAATGGCCAATATAGCACGCAAGCCAGGTTGGTTGGCAAAAGGGGGGTCTTTGGGCTGTGGATGGAGGGCAGTAGGAAGGACCCAGGTTTTTCGGGCTCTTTGCAATTCAATTCTAATGCTCGAGGCCCGCGGGCTTCTGCGAGTCGTTCGTGCTCTCGCCAATTGCCAAATTCAAATCCAAATCGCAGCACGATCCAAGCTGAAGTTGAAGTTGAAACTGAAGCCGAAGCCGAGAGGTTGAAGCTGAAGCTGAATCCAAATCTGAAGTTAAAGCTAAAGCTGAATTTGAATCCGAAACTAAGTCTGAAGCTTGGCCACGTTGGCAACAACTGACACGTTTGCTCGCATTTTGATTGCAATTTCTTTTCTTTGGCCAACTCTCCGCTGGAAAGAGTCAAATTCGTGTTGGCCATTAAAAGCCAGCGACAATGGAAAACGCAAATCAAAATAGCTTTGAAGCGGAGAAGAAAAAATTTACAAATTTTCCTCACGAAATCATTGTGGCCAAAATAAATGCCAGGCTGATCGGAGACACGAAAATCTCCAAGTTGACTGCATTCTCGGCTGCGGATTCCGCATCTTTTGCGAGACATGTGGGCGGCTGTCAATCTGTCTTTGTCCCCGTCTCTTTCTTTGTCTCTACTGCCATCTCTTTCTTTGTCTCTGTCTCTTATCACGCGACTGAGAATGTCTGACAGTCTGACTAACTGACTTACTGACCTTCTGGCGAGGCATGAGTCAAGCATTTCGGTGATAGCCGGCGATACTTCCAAACAAAGTCTACTGGATGCAAGCCAAAGTCGTCTGACTAATGCCATACAGTAGAACTTCTATGTATTGAACTTTCCCTTTTACATTATCAGTATTTTAGGTTAAATTTCTTTGTAATTGGTTCTTAAAATTGATTGTAATGTCAAAATGTACGTTAAAGAATTTTATTTATACTATGAAATGAATTATAATAGTCGAAAAAAATTATACAGAAATATCACTTTAAAAATATTATTATTTCATATTCAAGATACTTTCAAAAAATTTAAAACCAATAATTAATTTTGAGGCCCAGTGAAAATTCCCAAAAACTCATAGAGTTAATGACATACGTAGTATGGAATTTCTTTTGCCCTTAAGTTTTCCCTGTATCACAATAATATTTCAGCGGGGAATAGGAAAAAAAACAATTAAACTAAACGGAAACCGAGTTGTACAAACAAAGAAATGCTTTCTTAAATAATGTGACCATTATCCCGCTAGGTTAGCCACAGGTTTCGCTGCCGGGTTTCCTCTTTCTTTATTGATATAATTTTAATGGATTTACAAATATTACGCATACGCCCAGCTGGCCCGCAGTCACCTTTCCCCAGCAGTTTCCCAGGCAATTTGTTTCGCTTTTCCTGCAGGCGGTTTAAGTCGGGCACTTAGCACAATTCATCAAGTGATTTATTTAACACGCGCCTTCCATTCGGACGGAAGTTTGATTTCGCCCGTGGCACGGGATCATTAAGAATCCCATTCCAGCGGATCCAACGGATCCAGCTGTGACCCACTGCACCAGTTTGGGCTCCATCTTAGTGGATGGCTTGAGCTTCATCTCCATCCCGGACTTTTGGCCCTGGCCATTGATTTATGGTGCTGCCGGAGCTGCTCATCCAGAGCAATTTCACATGGGCACACAGCTGTGGCCGATAATTATGGGTTTTGGGCTGAGAGAGGTTTCTCTAGGAATAAAATGGGCCAAAAAAAAAAAGACAGAAAATAGCGAAGGTAAAGTAAAGGGCCCCGTGGGACAGTTGCTGATTTAAATTCGTGTTAGAGAGACAAAATAATTACGGCAATTGGGCAGAAAAAACCCCAAATCCAAACGAACTGAAATGAAACTGCACGACGATCGACTGAATGACTGACTGGGTGAGTGACTGAGTGAATGAATGACTCTTGGTCTTGGGAACATTCGGAGAGTGGAACCATTGGAACCATTGGAACCATTAAAATTCTTGGCGATGCGCCCTAGGCCAAAAACCAAAAAAAAAAACAAACCAGAGAGGCAAACCCTAAGTAGTTGACCCAGAAAACAATTCTGTTGCATATCGGCAACTGTCAGTCATGTGATTCGTTATTATTGTTATTATATGTATTTGCCATTAAGCATTTATGATTTTCTGATTTATTTCAGCTGCTTTTGTGGCGCCAAAGTCAAAAAGACAATCAGCAGCCGCTGCCCACGTAGCTACCAAACAAAAGTAGATATATATATGTATATACAATATCGTTAAAAAAAAATACAACAACCTCTACAATCCCCAATCTCAATGCAATCGAGACTTCAAGCCAAGTCAGTCAAGTGGCTTAAGGCTTGGTCTTGTAACGTTTCGTTTTCGTTATTTTTAACGTTAGTTTTATTTCGCGTCGACTTATATATTTTTTTACCCCATTCGCCAGCTATTTCTCCATGTGTTTCGGTTTCGGCTTTATGCTCGAGTATTTACAATTCGATTTGCTTTTGCGAGACTCGCAGGCGCAAACATCCAAAAATTAAGTATACGACAGGAGGGCTGGCAAGCAAATTGACTTGAAGAGTTGATGAGAGGTGGCAAATTTCGGTGGGTAAATATATATGACCGAGTGGGAGTATCATAAACAGTGATCACAGTGGGTAATAAATGCTTAACAAGGAAGCGCGGTGACTGTGACTGGATCTATTAAAAATACTAGTGAATTTTAGAGTGTAAACTATCATAAAAAGTAAAAGTATGGCCTGTACTTTTTCTTTACGACAACAATATCCTTGACTTAAATTTGCTATCTATGCAATTAATCAATACAGAGATTAAACCATGATTACAATACCAATCTGTTATTAGCGAGGCATATGAATCAATAAATCAATAAAATCGCCGCTGATAAGAACAAGTGAAATGAAAAGCATACAATTCTAATTAGGTGAAAAAGTGTGACTAATTCTGTGCTTATGAATAAATAAGCAATGATTTTCTTAGAGATTACGTGCCACTACTTCCTGTTTATTTCGTATATCAATATTTAATCTCTTCGGGGTTCAACGACTTTAATCACAGTTTGCCAGAAATATGAAATACCCATGAATTTACCAAAGTAAAGCTCTGTTTACCCTAAGACCCAAAACCCAACAATGATCATGTTATCGATCTGTTATTTCTTCGTTACCAAATTTTCGCCCAATCCAGTGAACTTGATCACCGCCGAATCGCAGCATGAATTATGAAGCTCGAAGGCTTGGAGCCCTGCTCATGTGGCCGATTCGCTTGTGCCTTGTGCACACCATTACTTAATCCGGCTTATTATGGCATCCGTCTGGGCCAAAACCCCCTCCCCCTGCGACTCCTCCATACCTCCCACCATCGTACATAATATATATGCTTTGGCAACATCGCAAGTTTCGGGTATTGCCGCTGCACTTCAAATATGTTTGTCTGTTTGCTTGTCGACAATTGCATTGCCTGCACTGCAATAATTTTCACTTAATTATCTAATGAGCGATCCAAAGACCCCAGAAAGTCTATTGTTGATTTTTTCCTTCGCTTTTTTTGGGTTTTGCTTAAGCTCTGACCGTAATTATGGCTGCGGATCATTTGCAAATGTGAGCTATCCGGTCAGCAGCGGTCACATAACTAATGATTAAACCATTTAAATGTTTCGGACTTATGCAACCGCGATTTCTCTTGTTTAAAACTCTTGCAGGATGATATGCCGCACCACAATAGTAGTCAGCACCATGCATCATCGATGGATCAGTGCGGATTAACTCAGGCCGGCTTGGAGGAGTACAACAATAGATCCTCCTCGTACTACGACCAGACGGCCTTCCACCACCAGAAGCAGAACTCCTATGCCCAATCCGAGGGCTACCACAGCTATGTGTCAAGTTCGGATTCCACATCGGCCACGCCATTTCTGGATAAGTAAGTTGTCGCGGAAAAGCGGGGGGAAAATACTTTAAGTGCAGTGAGAAAAAATATTAGATATAAGTATAAAGAAAATGATATTTTAATGGGGCAATAAATAGGTTTCTTACATTTGAAAAGTTAACTACTGCTACTAAATATTTATTAAAGATTAAATAGAGATCAATTAAATAAATATAATTTTTATGGGTTACTTGTTGAGTTGAAAATAGAGATTAAATTAAACATAATTTTAACCAATATAATTAAATATTTTTTTTTGATAAAATTTATAAATAGATACAACATTTTTTGCTAGCTTGTTAAAAAATTAAAATTTGGATTTATAAGAAACTCTAAAATTTCAGTTAGAGCTCTTACTCATAGATTTTCTTTGTAATTTTCTCGCCGTGTGGCTGCATTGCAAACACGTTTTTCCTCGCACATACTCGCATCAAATGCCGAACGACAATTATGAATTTTATTTGTACACTAAAAAACGCCATAAAAGATTCTTGGTAAGGCAAACACATGAGATACACAGACGGCGTAGACGGAGCAGAGAAATAAAACCGAAAACGAGCAGCTTAAGCTTGGCTCTCAAGGTCTTCTTGTGGATCTGTCTCCGTCTTTTAGCTCCGGTTGTGGCTCTATTTTCTGTCTATCTGTCTGTCTGACTATCTGAACTTGCCCCAAGTACCGAAGAGAGTCCGCTTCTGGCTCTATTTGCCCGAACCGAAGGCTAAGCAAGAAATTCAAGTAATTGCGGCCATGCGAAAAGCCGAGAAAACCAGAAATCGCAAATTTCTGTAGCACGCAATGATTTGCCAAAAAGCTCTGTTTCGACGGTACTTTAATGTTGGCTCTAAAGTTTTTTACTCTAAACTCTAATCTGAAATTCCTACGGCCTGTTCTATTTGCAGATTACGTCAGGAGAGCGATCTTTTGTCGAGACAGTCGCATCATTGGTCGGAGAACGATCTGTCCTCCGTCTGCAGCAACTCGGTGGCTCCCTCGCCCATTCCTCTCCTGGCCCGCCAGTCTCACTCCCATTCGCATTCCCATTCACACTCCCATTCCCACTCCCACTCCCATGGAAACTCCTCCTCCATAGCCTCCTCATCCAGCTCCAGCAACAACAACAACAATAGCAACGGGAGCAGCATCAACAACAACAATAACAACAGCTCGGAAAGCACTTCCTCCACGGAAACCCTCAAGTGGCTGGGCTCCATGAGCGATATATCCGAGGCCAGTCATGCCACCGGCTATAGCGCCATCGCCGAATCGGGTGAGTTTTCTTTTAGCCCTTTAGAGAGAGCAGAAAGCCACGGTTGTTAGTCGAAAATATCACTGTATTTACTAGTTTATTTCATTAAAAAACATTTTTATTTTTCAATTTTAAAGGTTCTAACTTCTTTTTAACCAATTGCGTGTTTTTTGATCTTCTAAGATATCTTTCTTTTGACAAGTTCCCAATATATCTTACATTTCTATCTTTTATGTCTTGTACAAAATGATTCATTTTCAATCCAACTTAAAAGTTGGTTTGCATTATAATAATACAATTATACAAATATTCTAAAAAATATAAAAATATATTATAAAAAGAGTGAAATCTTTTATGTATATCTTGTAAAAAATTATTCATTTTCATTCCAATTTAATAGATGGTATTCCAATTTAAAATATGGTATAAAATAGTTATACTCACAGCAAAGTCTCAATACGGATAAACATATAAAATCCTTTTGTGACAAAATGAGATTTAAGCCAACAAAAAATTTTTTTTCTTTTTAATATTTCTACAAAATTTATTTTTCTTTTTGAACGTTAAAAATACAGTTTTGCTTAATTATTTTCAACTATTGTTATCTTGCATATTTTCCTATAAAAGTTTATCTCTTTAAGACATATTTCCAGTTTCTATTTAATAAATATGCATTTGGAAATAAAAGTACGCTTATTAGAGAACCAACAATCGTGGCCATAAATCGAGTGGGGGTCACAGTGGCAGTCTGAGCTTTTGGGGGTGGTGAATGGTTGGCCATTAGTAATAAGAGAAGGTTGCCCAAAAATGCTGGGCGACTGGCGAACCGGGCGAACCCACTCCCCCACGACCTTGGCTCACTGCTGCTGGCCCCCTTTTACTTGGCTCTAGACCCCCAGCTCCTTTTAGAATGGTCGAGGACACGCCCTAAACTAAGTATCCCCCTTCTCCCCCCAGTTTCCTCCTCGCAGCTGATTGTGCACAGCTCCCGGGTGCTGACCCCCAAGCGTCACCACAGCGAAAGTGTGCTGGCCCCGGCGATCTCACCCACCGAGAGTAGCAGTGCCTCCGCCTCCATGATCTCCGCGGTGGAGGAGGAGGAGGCTTCGGCCACCCCGGTGGCGGTGCATCATCCACCCCTGCGCATCCAGCACCGCCACAGTCCCAGCTACCCACCCGTGCACACCTCGATGGCCCTGCACCACTTCCAGCAGCAGCAGGATCACCAGAATCACCACCACTCCAACCAGTCGGCACAAAGTTCCTCCCTGGAGTTGGACAAACCTCGCTCTGTCCTCGGGCAATCGCACTCCATGGGCGATCTGCAGCAGAAGCAGCAGCTACCTATCATGGGAATCAGTAGATCCACTGGCCAGCAGCACAAGTCGAGCATTTCGGTGACCATTTCCAGCAGCGAGGCGGTGGTCACAATAGCACCACAACCGCCGGCCGGGAAGCCCAGCAAGCTGAAGTCTTTGTCACTGGAGGCCCAGTCCTTCAGCTCGAGTTCGCCTAATATCGGGGCAGAGCAGAGCAGTCCCACCAGTAGTATCGATTCCTACCGCAGCAACCACCGCCTCTTTCCGGTAAGCACCTACACGGAGCCGGTGCTCAGCAACACCTCGCAGTATGTGCAGCATCCCAAGGCGCAGTTCAGCTCGGGGCTGCACAAGTCCGCCAAGTGAGTAATACTACTTCCTTAATTCCTTAATAATTTATTTAACCCCGGATTAACCCCCACTTAACCCCCAGACTTCCTGTGATAACGCCAGCGGGGGCCACAGTGCAGCCCACCTGGCATTCGGTGGCCGAGAGGATCAACGACTTTGAGCGCAGCCAACTGGGTGAGCCGCCCAAGTTCGCCTACCTAGAGCCCAGCAAGACGCGCATCCTCTCGAATCCTGCCCTGAAGGCCATCCAAAAGAACGCGGTTCAGTCCTATGTGGAGCGACAGCAGCAGCAGCAGAAGGAGGAGCAGCAACTGCTGCGTCCCCACTCGCAATCCTATCAGGCTCTGCATGTGGAGCGCAAATCGCTGCCCAATAACCTGAGTCCCATAATGGTGGGTCTGCCCACCGCCTCCTCGCGGGAATGCAGCTCACCCACTCCGCCACCGCCGCCTCCAAGGACCAGGAGTCTCCTGCCCAATCTGCTGAGGCGCTCCAGTTCGGCCTCGGATTATGCGGAATTCAGGGAACACCATCAGTTGGCCCAGGGTCAAGTCAAAGGGCCCAGCATAAGGAACATAGGCAGTGCCGAGAAGATCAGCTTCAATGACTGCGGCATGCCACCACCGCCACCGCCGCCCAGGGGACGTGGAGGGGGCGTGGTGCCCACGCGACGCACTTCCTCGGCCACCGAATACGCTCCCATGCGGGAGAAGATGCTCCTCCAGCAGGCCGCCGCCCTGGCCCACCAGCAGCACCACCCGCAGCAGCACCGCCATGCACCACCCGAGCGTCCGCCCAAGCATCCCAATCTACGGGTTCCCTCGCCCGAGTTGCCACCACCGCCGCAGAGCGAACTGGACATTAGTTACACCTTCGATGAGCCACTGCCGCCGCCACCGCCGCCGGAAGTGCTCCAGCCACGCCCACCGCCCTCGCCGAACCGGCGGAACAGCTTCGCTGAGGCATCATCATCAGCCACACGTCGCACCACCACCGCAGCCTACGCAGCAGCACCACCCACGCAATCGGCGGGGTCCGTGGTTGGAGCCACCAAGGTGCCACCGCTGGTGCCCAAGAAGCCAACGAGCTTGCAGGTGAGTCATGACTACTGTTTTGTAAATTCAGATTCAGATTTTTATAATCGTATTTCTTTATTACCTTGCAGCACAAACACTTGGCGAACGGAGGAGGCGGCAGTCGCAAGCGACCGCACCACACGACTCCGCAGCCCATCCTCGAAAATGTCGCCAGCTCGGTGGCGCCACCGCCACCGCCCCTGTTGCCGCGTGCCAGAAACGCCGCCCATGACAATGTGATCGCCAGCAATCTGGAGAGCAACCAGCAGAAACGGTGAGTTGTAGGTTTTTAAGTGAGAGGTTATAGTTTGGGATCAGGAAAGATCTTTTAAAGTGCTCTACTTAAATCGGAATTTTAATTATCGAATGGTAAAACTTTATTGGTTGGTTTATAACCCTTACTTCAATAACACAACCATATATTTATCGAATTTAAAAACGCGGAATTAATATAGTACAGCTTTTTAAATTGTTTCATAGTTCGAAACTAGAAAATATTTTTAGAAAATGATCTTCGAGAATTAAACTTCGTTTATGACAAATATGGTAAAGATTTTTAAAAAAGACTGTAGATTTTAACTAGAAATTGTAGTTTCTTCAATCAAACTCTTCAAAAATACTTCTCTAATTTACAAATTCAGAACAAATTGCATTAATTTCTAATTGATTTCTGAAATTTATTAACTTTGATCAAGGGATTCCTATATTATGAAAATGTTTTTACTTTCATTGGGAAAATATTGTATTTAAATACAAACGTTGATATACGTTATTTACTGCCATAAATTAATGACATATTAAAGACTTATTAAGCAAACAATACCTAACAACCGTAAAATTAAATGAAAAATGTACAAAAATCATAATTAGAGAACGTATTCTGTTTCCAGTCAAATTCCCATATTCAAACCCATTATATACCACTTTATTATACCTAGATTTTTTATTAACTTCCTAGTTTCTAAAGCCTATTAGTAGCTTAAATTAAAGAAGTTAGACCTCAATTCAGTATGAGGGTCGTTTGAGAAAATCACACAGCACCAGGTCGCCTCCACTCTGCAGCATCCGTGGGCAATGATTTTGATTTCAGTTTCAGTTTCGACCACTCCCTGGCTCTTTGTTCTTGACCTTATCGAATCCAATTAGCTGTTCAGCTGTGAATGGAGTGCGTGGCACGGTAGCCGGCGAGCTTCGCTGATCTTGGCTAATGAGCCGCTTCCTTCGCCGCCTTCCTTCGGCCGTCAATCAGCATCAGCTGTCGCCTAATGCTTAATTGGATTATGAAATACACTACTCGCTGAGCAGCTCGACTTTCGCTTTCGACCCACTAAACCCGACTTGGCCGACTCGACCGACTCCAATTGCCAATTGAGCCGCCACCTGAGCAGCGGGCCCACAAAAATGTGTCAACCAAACAACGATTTATGTTTTGCTCCTTGGCGTGTGGGCAGCAATATCCACCATCCACTCCCCCCAATTGCCCAGATTCCCAAAATGATTCAGGCACCACACCACTCAATTCTTTGTTCTGATTGTGCTGGTAAAAGCCAATCAAATTGAAAATCGAAATTTATCCGGCCAGCGGGGACAAAAGGTCCATTCTTGGCCGGGCTTACGGGGCTTTACTTGGCTGACATTGATAGATGAACGCCGGGCGTTCATTAGCGCACCGAGCGCATACTTTTTGCATTCACTGTAAGGCATCGCACCCAATTTTCGGGCATTAGATAACTCAGAGCCGCACATTGAGTTCAAGCTGCGGTTGCACAGTGGTTGGGGTTTTGGAATTATTTGGGAAATTCCCCATTAATGAGTCACTAAAAATAAATTGAGTCCAAATTCCGTGAGTTTAAATATTATTGTATTATAATACATTTAAATAACAGAATTTTTTGACTGGGCTACATTCATTGACGATTTATAAATATTTATGTCGATAGATGGTTACACTTTATTTGTAACTTTATAAGATATTTTTACACATCATCAAAAGATATTATTATATTATTATAAAAAGATATTATTTAAAGAAATTATTTAACAGGGCATATAAAATGCATACAAATTTAAATACTTTTATTAATTAAATTTATAAATTAAATTAGGAATATAATACTTTAAATTCTTATGGTAATTGAAGCTTGTTTTTAGTTATTATTACAATGAATACATTTAATTGAATCTCTCCCACTGTTCCTTATAATTTCTATGGGCTGTCATGTTTTTTTCTCTGTTGTTCCTTTTTTCCGTCTTTTTAGGGGGGTGTTTTGTTTTGGTTTTTTTTTTTTGTAGTGGCTCAGTTGACACCGGGGGAGACCTTTGCGGCACGATTTGTTGCAGCAGCAGCATCCAGCACGAGACAAATATTGACACAATTTGTGGCAAAGCTTTCAGCCAGGCTTTCTGCTCAGTTTAGCCTGGTTGGGGACTTAGCCTGGCAACTTGTAAATGGGCTTGTCAGAGGCTTCGTTGTCGCTTGAGCCTGGTCGCTGGGTTCAAATGCCGTTCACCGCGAACGTGCCTAATTTGCATTTTGAAAGTTGCAGCGTGCGGAAAATGGAGCAAAGGGCAGTGTAGTCATCGCTTGCATTTCTCGAACCGACTCACCTGCAGACACTTTTCGAGCGACTTCAATTAGAGCAGTAACAACAGAAAATGGCAAAAAGCCAAAAAAAAACCGAAAACCCTGAGAGGTGTGCCATATGTTCTCTTGACAGCCTCTAATTATCGCCTCGCACAGCCGTTGGCCAAAGAAATAATCGGCAAAGTGCAGGCATTTGCCGAATTAATTCCCTCTTTGGCCATTTGGCAACACTTCAGCTAAGTCTTACCTGTATTATTTTCAAATTAACTGCCAGCATTGAGCATTGAGCACTGCGACCACAGACCACGCGTCGTATGCGCGCTATAAATCACTCATTCGCCGTGTGGCCGCGGCAAAAGGAACAAGCGAAACATAATGGCGAACGCCAGGCCAGACAATTCAATTTATCCAGCCGCCAAGTCGCGACTGTTCCGATGCAGTTGCCGTGATTAGGCCAGCTTGGCTTTCTGGCCACATTTAACAAAGTGTTTGCCATAATTTCTGGTCGCTATCAACGGCTAAATATCGACAGTGCACACAATGATCGATTGAACTTTGCACCAATGACGATGACGATGCAACGGCAGCAGCGACAGATTGGCGATGAGAACTGGCAACAAAAGGTGATTGAATTTAATGGCTTTAGGGGGCTTGGTGTACCGACAGTTCCCTGTACCTATAATAATAATAAAGCTCGTTTAATCCGAGAAAAATCTTGATAGTGGAGGACAGGAAAATATATATATGGAGAACAGGAATATGTTTATACCTTTTATGGTGTTTACAAGGTTCTTTGGTCTCTTGGGTTAACAAAAACTGTTGTCTACTTTTAAGCTTGCTAAAATAAAGCGCTAGAAATTATGCTATGATTTTTGTCATAAAACTTGTTAAAGAGCGGACCAAGATCTCTTTCTCTTTATTAAGAGAGCGAGTTACTTGTAAGAGCTGAATTTAAGCCAAAAACCATTAAAATTAAGAAAAGCAATCTTGTCTAAATCCCAATAAATGTCTCAATTGAATGGCCCATAAATAACCGCTGATCATAAACCGAGAACCCTAGAAGCTAATGGCAAAATTTAGATTTTTATTTGCAATTTATTCTATTGCAAAGAATTCCTGGCTAGTGACTATGTTTGGCCAACAAACCTTTAAGTTTAGCGACTTTTAAAAAGGTTTTAGAGTAAGAGAAACCCCTCTGTTTAGCTCTTTAGTTCTCCCTTAAACTCTCTAGCGCTCTCTTAAACCAACCGGCTCTGCAGTGGAGTGTGTTTAAGGTCTTTTGTGTTTGCGGTGCCGTGTTTTTGTGGCCATCATCCCGCTGACGTTGCCGCAACTTCAAACGAGTGAAATCCGCCGAGGCGTCCGGACGTTCGCGCTAGTTTGTCGCCTGTGTGATAAGTTAAATAAATCAATTGCAATTCGAAATTGGAAATTCGGCAATTAAAAATGTAAAACTCTCGTGACACTTGGCTGCATGTGTATCGATTTCATGTGTTTTTTTTCGCGGCCCCCACTTCCTGATCGCCAAAAACAAAAAATCAAAACACCAAAAAATAAGGAAGTTCAGCAGCGGGTTCAAATGTTGGGCCAACAAACTGCATAGCATTTGCACAAATAACTGGCAGACAAAAGGAAGCAAGATATCACGCAAAGAGTTTGGTTTATTTTGCTGTCATTTGGGGATTGTCTAACATACATATCATATATCTCTTGGATCTTTGGATATCCGCGCGTGTGTGTGTCTGCCGCGTGTGTGTGTGTGCCTTTTGCTCTTCCCAACCAAATTGGATTTCACAATACTGGATACCGTCTACCAACTGAAAATGGTGTTCGGCGGCAAGTTTCGAATCAGAAGGTAAACACACACTTTTTTGCACAACTCAATTGCCAGCCAAGTCGCCTGGTCAGTTAAGTTCAGTTATTATGATCTCAGCTGATAACGCCGGCTATTAACGATCGCCATTAGTCAGCGGTAGCAGGAAATTCTATGAACTACGTTTCTGTTGGCACAGAGAGAGAAATGTGACATCTGTTCTAGGGGATCGTTAAAAGTTTTGATTCATTTTTCAATTACTTGGAAGTAATTGGATCCCTGACAATAAAGAACCCTATTAGATATTCATATATGAAATGTTTTTTTAAGTGTGCCATATGTTTTACAAAGTAATTAAGATTTTTGCTTAATTGTAAAATTAATTGGAAGTGATGTCGGGAAGGAATGTCTTAAAAAAACACTTTAAAATATGTTATTGATGTTAATGTCATAAATTATATATTTTATTTAGGAAAAGTTTCGTAAAGTTTGAATAGTGTTGTAATTATTCTCTAAGGAATTAGTTTTTAATTTTCTTTTTTTTTCTATCTGCACTCCAACTAAGCCGCTTGAAAATGAAAACTAGACTTTTAATAAGAACGCGCGTCAGCCATTGGAGTATTTTATTTTTTCCCAAGATAAGCTTTTCTGTGAGTCGTTTGTTAACTGCATTGCTGTCTGGCTTTTGATCTGAGGTTGCTGCTGGGATCTGGGATATTTGTAGTTGTTGTAGTTGCCTAGTTGTACTAGTTTGTGGCGACGTTGTCGGCTAACTTCAGTGAAACCATATTTAGCATGCTCAATGCCTAACGTCTCCGCTAATGACGACAGTTGTTGTTGGCTGCACGGCGCAAAAAACCCAAACTGTAATAACATA